TGACAGAGGTGGACACTCTAACTGTGGCTCGACCCTGGGCAGCCCTGCTCACCACCTGCTGCGCGAGGGGCGCCGTGAGAGCAAGCATCAGCATGGTCGCCTGATGCCAGTGTCTGGACGTGACGTGACAGCATTGGAGAGGTGCAGTGATGTGACAGTATGAGAGCAGTGGGGTTATTGAGTGCTGGAAGTGATGCACTGTTAATACGAATGCTTCCTGACTACCTCCCAATGTTGGAGTGCCATCAAAATGCGGGTCTTCAAACTGTTCATAGATGGCGCCAGCCAGTTACCGGATCCAGATGGCGGACCGTGTTCGGGAATACCGGCGCCGACTGCGAGTGGCGGGCTCAGAAGCGCCCGCCGACTCTCGGGATGACGTCAGGCGGCACGTGCAGAGCGGGCTGCAAGCACTGCAGCGCACCTCGGACAGTATAGCGCGGTGGGTCCCAGGCACCTCCCAATGGCAGTGTCAGAGCTACTCATCTCTGTGGAGAGTAGAGTGACAGCGGAGCTCAGTCAGCTGTCCTCAGCGTAAGTGCGTTACACGGCGGACAGTCATGAAGCTATTCTCCATCCTCGTTTGAACAGGACCATGGGACGTGTGCCTCAGCAGCTTCGACACATCTCTTGTTTTATGTGCTGGATTCGTAAATAGCCTCCGTGATCCTTACTCGACACATTTCCAGTTCCGGCCTGTGCAGTTCAGTATCGCTTCGAGCTGATCACGGTTGAGGCTCTGGCCGCGCGGTTTGGCCCCGCGTTGGTGGATCCCCTCCTAAATGCCAGCGTGAGCCAGATCCCCGCACCCTGCCCCGGTGCGATGCTCGAGACCACTCGGGCGTGTCCGCAAACTGCGTAATCTGCGCCATGTGGTATCTGTCACGTGTTGCTCGCTCCGCGTGGCGAACATTTGGCGACGCGTGGCTAGCGGTCCAAGGTGTCGGCCACGTCCCGCCTGAACCCCACCGAAACTCTTCGCTGAGCTGCCCCCTCAATGAGGAAGCTTTCTCCTTGACCAGACCCTCCACAGACGCATCTTGTGACAGCCAGGAGACAGGCTGGCCGGACAATAACCAGGCGTCGAGGTCCCTGTCCTGCTATCGCGCTCACCTTCTCAAGTAGGATGATCCCAGTGACGAGCCATGGCTCTTCCCGACCACCTGCCTCGTTATGATGCCGTTGTTGCGGTCAGCCTCAGCGTCGAACCATCACGCGGCGGCTGATGCGTGTGAAGCCGGCAGCGCACCTCGAGCAGTGCGGACACGGTGGGCCGACCTGAGGTGCGCCGCACGCCGCCGGCAGGTCGCAGCAGCTCTCGGCCGAGACGGACCAGGTGGGCGCCGAGGTCATCTCCGACCTGGGCGTGCAGCGCGACAGCCTGCAGCGCACGCGCGACCGGCTGGCCGACACGGACGCCGAGCTGGGCCGGTCGCAGCGCCTGCTGCGCACCATGTACGTGCGCGTCATCTCCAACAAGGTGCTGCTGGTGGCCATCATCCTGCTCGAGCTGGCCGTGCTCGGTGCTGCCATCTACCTCAAGTTCCTGAAGAAAAAATGAGCTGGCCGGTGGGCCAGCGTATCGGGGAAGTCAGTGTACCGGCCCGCCTAGTCGCTGTTCGCGCCGAATGATACAATGTTAGGCTGCTTTACTAGCAGTGGTGCATCATGTCTTTTGCATTGGCTCAAGTTGCAGGTATATCTGGGCAACGCATAGTGTACACGACGTCGTGTTCTGTGTAAGTGCTGCTGCAGTTCGTATCGAACACTGATGTTTTATCGTGAAGTGCGGTTTGTCAGCAAGAGTTGTGAAGGCGTAGATGCATTCTAGCTATTGGACTTCGTAACGACAGCCGGAACGCAGCTGATGCTGTAAGGTGGTCGAGATGTAGGTACAAGACATCCTTCGTCCTGCATCTTGATGCCTGTTACCAGAAAGGCTGTTCTTTGTTCTGTTGGGACGCTGTGTTCTTGTCTATTTTCTGAGGTCGTTCGTGTAAGAAGTTGCAGGCAAATCCTTGCATCTGATACTGGTCCGAACACAGAAGACTCGAAATTCACCGAGATGGGATTAATCGTGAACTTGTAATCCAGTTGATCGTAAATTTGCACTCCAACAAGCCCTTTCTAGATCTCAGTCGCACAGAAGGCTTGTTTGTACAAAACAGCTTTTGTCTCCCAGTGCTTTTGCAGATCAAAGCCTTGTTACCTTCCAAGGTTAATGCGATTTGGGTAGAAAATATACAGTATTTTATCCTGATCGGTGTTTGTCATATTCCTTGTGGACTTGAACGAGCAAACAGAACGTCTTATGACGCTTGAACAGTATATCCTAATGAGCATAAGCAAATGGAAAGAGAACAGAACAAGTTTTTGCCGCAGTTTACACTGATTATCGTATTTCGGTCGTACCGACTGCCACGATTGTTCCCAAGTCCTACAATGCACGGTACGAGATACAATATCGCGTAAGCAGCCCTTTCCATCGCCTAGCGTAGGTCTTCCACCGCCAGACGACGTTCATCCGTCCAACAGGCATGTCGTGTTGTGCTATATCCAAGTATATTTCCGTATAGCGAGGTGAGGTTGGCACGTCCTCGTGACGGGTTATTTCTGTCGTCTGCAAAACGCGAAGATATACGGGACGTTTCCAGCTGGTGAATGTGAGGTCAAGATATTTCCCCGCGGGGTGCCCCAAAAACGAGCGATAAAGGAACGAGCTTTTGCAAAGGACTCAGGAGGGCAGATATATTTTAATCGCACCTGAGACACCGAAGCCTTTCGTGTCGCCATTCTTCAGACTTGTTAATGGCGTGGTTATCTTGAATTGTGCAGGACGCGGGTGTAGAAATATGCATCGCGCAGACGACAGAGATAAACCTCAAACACGAAGACGAGAGGATTTGGATGGTTCCGAAGACATAATAATTTTTCCAGTTGCAATCAAAGCGCATGAAGTGCGTTGAAAACACTTCCGCACTTTGTGCAAGGAGACTTCAAGAATTTACTATCTTCCGATATGAGGTTGGTTGATGGATAAGAAACCTTACACACACACACACACACACACACACACACACACGCACGCACGCACGCACGCACGCACGCACGCACGCACGCACGCACGCACGCACGCACGCACGCACGCACGCACGCACGCACGCACGCACACGCACACACACACACCACACACACACACACACAACACACACACACACACACACACACACACACCACACACACACAATATATATATATATATATAATATATATATATATATATATATATATCAGCTTCAGCTTCAAGATCGTCTTCAACGGATAACTAGCGTCTCTCGAAAAGTCCTAACCTTTCAAGACCCCCCGCATATATATATATATATATATATATATATACTATATATATATATATATATATATATAAGAGAGAGAGAGAGAGAGAGAGAGAGAGAGAGAGAGAGAGAGAGAGAGAGAGAGAGAGAGAGAGAAGAGAGAGAGAGAGAGAGAGAGAGAGAGAGAGAGAGAAGAGAGAGAGAGAGAGACGGAGAGGAGAGAGAGAGAGAGAGAGAGAGAGAGAGAGAGAGGAGAGAGAGAGAGAGAGAAGATAGGAGAGAGAGGAGAGAGAGGAGAGAGAGAGAGAGAGAGAGAGGAGAAGAGAGAGAGAGAGGGAGAGAGAGAGAGAGAGA